GAGAAGGAATTGCGGTGGTTATTTGATAAGAAAATACATGTTTCTGACAAACATTGATGAATTAATATTTAATCGTCTGCGACTATACAGGGTGTGGCGTGTATAATCTATAAAAATTAAACTACAGCTTCATGATATTTGTAATAGAAAACTCTTATACGAAAAAGTTCTATCTTCGCGTTTTTTTTTTTTGTATATTAAAGTTCGTTTATTCAACGAAAATGAAGGCCGACCCTGTGTTATTTATTAAAAACTTTGGAAATGTTTTTATGAGACCCGAGATGCAACCTTATAATTTAAGTCGGTATAATCTAATACTAGTAATACTAAAAGAAGGTTGAGTTACATTGTCAAAAATTTTGTGCAGTCAACTGATTTTGTATTTGTATTGAATTCATTATTCATTTAATTATTAAATATGTATTAAGCATCGTCCATCAACCCATCAGTGTTAAAAAGTGAAAGATTCCAGAGAGAAGTTTTTATTTTGTAATTCCACATGATAGTGACAGTGTAATTTTTATAAAGAAGGAAAAAATAAGAATAGCGTGCCGATTACATTAAAAATTAGATTCTTATATTTTAAGTTGCTTAATTTTTTATTTTGTGCACAAACTAGTTTTACAATGAACCGAGAAAACAATGCATTTACTACTTCCGTCGATATGGTGTTAGTGTATGGTGCAGCCGGAGAAAATGCGCTCGGGGCAACTAGGTTGTACCGGGAACGATGGCCACGTCACCCACCATGTGCAAATGCAATCCTACAGTGCGTTCAGTGGCTGCGAGACTTTTTGGAGAACCAATTGCCTAAATTATTGGACGATGTGGCATTACAAGTTCGGGCACGCATGTTTTATCTTCAAGATGGGGCTGCTCCACACGGGTAGGTACTCGAGAAATAACGACACTTTTGAATGAAATGTTTCCTCAGCGATGGATTGGACGCTTTGGTCTTGTACCATGGCCACCTCGGTCACCCGCTCTAACTCCAATTGACTTTTATCTTTGTAGTCACTTGCAGTCATTGGTTTACAATCCTCCAATTGCTACGGTGGAAGAATTGCGAAACCGTATACTTGAAGCTGCTGGCACAATTAGGGGAATACCTGGAATTTGGGAAAAATATTCGCCAAAATTGAGTGCGTCGGTGCCATGCCTATATCCGCGCTATGGGGATCAATTTCAACATTTTCTCTAGAAATGGTAAATTTTATTTCATTTTGTTCCATATTTTAATGGAGTTTGTTTAGTGCACGCAGTTGGCAACTACAGATGCTTACGGATGTGGTTTTCTTTGTGAACTGTTGCAGTAACAACAATGCTATTACTATTAATTATTAAATAAATTAATTAATTATTAATTATTATAATAAGAAAGTATCAGGTTCTTTAAATATCTATTTTTCTTAGTTTGTACTTTTGTATTGAAAAATTCCCCAAAAATTGAGAAGTATCTTTCTATCTTTCAACGACGATTTGTTTACGCG